TGCTTGAAGGTGTCTAGGTACATCACGTTGACGGAGCTCCCCGTATCGATGTAAGTGCGGTGGATGATGGAGTCACCGATCTCATATCGGATGACGAGGGCGTCCCTGTGTGACTCCGTACCCGGAGGCAGATCCTTGTCGGTGAAGGTGATCGCCTCCATTCGCTGCTTCTTCGGCTGGGGGGGGAACGTGGGACACCTCTCCAATGTAAAGGGATTGGGCCCATTTCTTCCTCTGAGTGGCGGAGTCTCCCCCAGTGTTCCCGCCTACGATGAGGTGGATGTGATTCTTCTTCGGCGGAGGCTCCTCGAAGTCCTCGTCGTCGCTGAGCCTACCAATCTCGCGCTTCTTCGAAGAGGGTTCGCCCCCACGTTTTCCGGTGTTTACCCAAGTGTTTTTCCGTAGGCCACCTTTGACAAACTGGGAGAGTTCCCCCTGGCGGATAAGGCGCTCGATGGCCTTCTTCAATGTGATGCAATCGTCAGTGTTGTGCGACGAGTTCTTGTGGAACCGGCAGTATGTGCCGCCCTGCTGGATGGCAAGGATCTCCTCGGCCGGCCGAGGAGCCTGCTCGATGAGGCCGTGCTTCTCGGCATAGTCGAGGATGGTGCCAACCGGGTGGGTGAGGGTTACCCCCGGCCGTTCCAGCCTCGGCCGCCAGTGGCGGTCTTTCTTACTTTGTCCACCAGAGCCGTGGCGGCCTTGGGCACCCTGGCCGGCCGGGGACGGACCCGAGGCCGGCGAAGGATTTGTCTTCTTGGGGGGATGGCCCCCCTCTCTCTTGTGATTGTGGAGCTCGTCGGCGTCAGCATACAAGCCTCCGCGCTGGAGCGCCTTGGCGTACGACCTCGGGGGGTCAGTGATGAGGCTCCTGGCGTACGGGGAGCTGCGGAGGGCTCCCTGGTACAAGGCGAGGAGGGTGCGCTCATCGGCCCCCTCGACCTCCTCGGTCTCCCTCGTCCACCGGTCGATGAATGACCGGAGGGACTCCTCGTGCTGCTGTTTGACGGAGAGGAGGTGGGTGAAATACTTCTTGGCGCGCTTCCTCCCGGCAAAGTGAGTGAGGAAGCGCTGGGCGAGATCTTTCCATGAGTCAATGCTTCCCTCTGGCAGCCCGTTGAACCACTCGTACGCTGGCCCCTCGAGAGTAGAGAGGAACCAACGGCAGAGGTATTCGTCGGACGCGTTCACCATCAGCATGTTGTTTTGATAACGGCTGAAGTGCTCCTGGGGGTCTGATCGGCCATCGTAGGACTTGATGGCGTTCCCCCTGTACTTCTCAGGGATGGGGGCCGAGAGGACCCTGTTGGTGAAAGGGGTCCTAGTCCTGACCTGGATGATGGGGTCACCCCGCCCTTCGGCCAGCTCCCTCTCCAGGGCGCTGACTTTGTTCATGAGCGCGTTGTGGCCGGGGTCGTTGGAGGCGCCGGCCGTAGGGATGTTGGCCGACTGCTTGGCCTCCATCTGAGCCAACCTCCTTTCCAGCTGGGCGATGACCTCGTCCCGGGGGTCCCTGTCGGCCGCGGCGGCACCCGGCTGGTTCCTCAGGCGCTCGTTGTGAGCCGCGTTGATCTGGTGACGCACGTCATCCTCGTGCAACTTCCCCTTGCCCTTGTCCGGGCGGGGCTGGTCCGCTGTCCGGGACACAGACCCCAAACTCTCCCTTGGCGAGCCAGGACGAGGATCACCAATCCGTCCCGCCATCCTCTCCGAAACCGGACGACGGCGCGTGTCACCTAGCCTATTGAAGGCAGAGGCTTTTCCACGCGCTGGGGTCTGCCCGGGCCGAAGAGGGGAAGCAGGGTGGGAGTGGGACGACGCCGTGTCCTGGGCCACAACCCCCTCATTGTTACCTATCTGGTCGGCCAGTGGTTGGGGATGAGGAGGTGGAGTGACGTTTTCCCCGGTCCTTGGCAAGAGTGCGCTGAGGACGGTGGGATTCTGAGCCAAGCTGGCGATGATAGCCGATAGTGCGGCCTGGACCTGAGGATCTACGGACGGAGAGGCCGCGGCCATAGGCTGGGCCGGGGCGTGGTCCGCTTTCCCAGCTCGTTTCTTTTCCAGGCCGAGGCGGGCGTCAGGGACTCCGCCGTTGAGTTGGTTGCGGAGGTCCGTCGTGAGGTTGAAGGCCTCCTGGAAGATGTCCTCTCCTCCGACCTGATCGGCCGTGGCGTCCTCCTCACGCTCCCTGTTTTCCTGATCCTCAGGGATGGCCTTGCTGACGAGGTTGCGGTTTGACTTAGTTTTTCACCAAACATGTAACTTTTGATTTCACGGCTAAATTGTGTAATAAGCTGAAAAAGTAAGGTTGGAGTTACTTTTCTGGTTGTATTGGCTGAAGTTACTGTAGAGGATCATTTTAGCTATTTTTCCATATAATTTTTTATTTTATTTATTAATAAAAAAAATTAAATATAATGTTTTCAAATTGGCAAAATCAGCCAATACAGTCACTTCAGCCAGAACTTCATAAATTTCAGCAGAATCAGTCAATTCAGCCAATTATAGTGTTACCAAACGGGCTCATAGACAATATAGGAGGGGTTCTCACTAGAACCCTCCCATATATATATATATATATATATATATATATATATATATATATATATATATATATATATATATATATATATATATATATATATATATATATATATATATATATATATATATATATATATATATATATATATATACACATATGTATGTACACATATGTATGTACACATATATACATATGTATGTACACATATATACATATGTATGTACACATATATACATATGTATGTACACATATATACATATGTATGTACACATATATACATATGTATGTACACATATACATATACACATATACATATATACATATATATATAGGTTTTGGTTCAAATAAGATCATGATCTTAGGGAAGAAATAAGAATGAATCTGGACCGTTAGATTTGTTTTAAGTGAAACTCGATGTGCATTACATGAAATTGTATGGTTGGACTCGGGCCGGGCTGGGCCTAGGCCCGGTCGGGCCGGCGGTTCTATATAGCAGGACCCGGGACCGGCCTGGGTAGCCACCGGGTCCGGTCCGGGCCGGGCCAGGCGGGGCCGGGTCTCGGGTTTGGTTATTTTTTTTTGCTTAGCTACCCATCCCTGACCCCCCCCCCTGACCCCCACCCCCCAAACCCCCCAAACCCCTCCTAAACATCAAGCCCAACCCGGTGGAGCCCAAACAAATGAAAAAAACCAAAAAAAATAAATAAATTTGGCCCGAACCGGGCCGGGCCGGGCCTTGTTATGGGTGACCCGAGCCCGGACCGGAAACCCACCGGGTCGGGCCTACCCGGACCGGTCACTGACCGGGCCACGGGTTCGGGCCGGGCCGGAACAGTACCGGTCCTGGGTCGGTTCCGGGTCGGGCCACCCGGCCCGAGTCCAACCCTATAAAATTGTAATGTGCATTAGGTGAAATTGATATGTGCAACACAAATAGTACGATAAAGTGACATTATGTGAAGCTGAATTGTGCATTAAATGAAATTGAAATGTTGACTAGGTGAAACTGAAATGTATAGAATAAATAGTACGATGTAATGTTATTTTTGTACCTTTTATTCCGCACATTTCAGTTTCATCTAATGCACACCTGAGTTTAGATTTTTATTCTGCACATTTCAATACTCCCTCCGTCCCCTAAAACTTTGTCTTCTTTCCTTTTTGGGATGTCCCAAAAAACTTTGCCACTTTCCCTTTTAATCAATTATTTTGTGTTTTCTGTTATTTCTCTCTCCTCTGCACAAACCTCAACCACACAGTTTTTACTTTATTATTCTCCGTACCGGTCAACTTTGGCAAAGTTTTAAGGGACGAAGGTAGTATCATCTAATGCACATTTCAGTTTCATCAAATGCACAGTTCAGTTCCACATAATACAATCTAACGGTCCAGATTCATTCTCATTTCTCTCCTGGGAGTCCGTTCTTACCGGAATAGGTTCAAATAAAAAGTGGTCTTAACGTGCAAAGTGCAAAGTTTGCACTTTTTAATGTTTCACTTGCACTTTTTCTTGCTTTCGTTTCACTTTTTGGCCATTTTGATTTTGCAACGTAAACAAGAAAAAGTGCAAGAGAAACATGAAAAAATGAAAATTTTGCACTTTGCACGAGAAGACCACATTAGTAAACGCGTATTAATTTGAATTCACTCAACTTATTCTTGTAAACACTATTGATGGTTCAGATTATTTTTATGAACACTCTCGATGGGAATTACTGTTGTAGATCCTCTAAAAGTAGGAATTATTCTTATGAATTTTGTCTAAAGTAGGGTTGGACTCGGGCCGGGTGGCCCGACCCGGAACCGGCCCGGGACCGGTACTGTTCCGGCCCGGCCCGAACCGGTGGCCCGGTCAGTGACCGGTCCGGGTAGGCCCGACCCGGTGGGTTTCCGGTCCGGGTAGGCCCGACCCGGTGGGTTTCCGGTCCGGGTAGGCCCGACCCGGTGGGTTTCCGGTCCGGGCTCGGGTCACCCATAACAAGGCCCGGCCTGGGCCAAATTTATTTATTTTTTGTTTTTTTTCATTTGTTTGGGCTCCACCGGGTTGGGCTTGATGTTTAGGAGGGGTTTGGGGGGTGAGGGGGGGGGTCAGGGATGGGTAGCTAAGCAAAAAAAAAATTAACCAAACCCGAGGCCCGGCCCAGCCCGGCCCGGGCCCAGACCGGACCCGGTGGCTACCCGGGCCGGTCCCGGGTCCAGCTATATAGAACCGCCGGCCCGACCGGGCCCGACCCGGCCCGACCGGGCCCGACCCGGCCCGAGTCCAACCCTGCCTCTAAAGTAAATGTCTATAAGTTTGGGAGGGCAGAAACTGTTTTCTAAATATTATTCCTTTATTTAGCGCAAAATGTTGTCATGTGGAAAATCATTTGGACACAATAAAAATAGAATTTTTGCAAATTAAGTTGAAACGGAGGGAATACAAGTAAGTGCTATTAAACACTATGATTAGTAAGCCATATTTTTGTCTAATTATAAAGGTAATCATATGGTTGACATCGGAAAGGACTCATAGTAATATAGGTGCACAGTGCACTATAACACTCATAGTAATATAGGTAAGCGTATTTACATACCAGTCTTATCATATATACTTATATGCCCGAGCTTGTTTTCAGTTTTCTCTTAAATGATTAGTGGACAACATCCCTAAATCCTATGGGCACTAAAACTCTCAACAACATTTCTATTCATAAAAAACCCAGGTTAGGATGAATTGATTATTAAAATACAGGGGGTGCTACAACACTAAAAAAAATGCGATGTATCAGCACCAAGAAAAAAGAGCAAATCATTAATAGCCCACAACAAAGATGCATGACAGAACTGTAGATGGTTCCAACATCTTCACGATATTCAAGAGCGATAATGTGAATCATCATCAATGCATTTTCATTTCCTTGATGGTTTGGTCCATCTCCTTGCCCTTTTGGACCCTAAAACATGCCACACCATAAAGGTTAATAAAGAATGGCCAACAACTCCGTTGATAAAGCTAGATCAAACAAAGATTGAGGTAGACAGTAGTAATGATGTGTAGGCAACTAAATGGAATGTGAATATATTATCCTTCTCGTGGTACTTACTGAGACGCTTGATGTTTCTGCAGAGAGTACTCCCACACTGGCATTTAAAAGCTTTGATTGGATGCTTGTGATCGCCAAAATCAATTCCATAGTCCTGAACACATGACATACATCTATGTTAGAGGCAGGATTAAGCCAACTCTGGAAACTGGTTTCACCATCATCGCCACGCCCTCAAGCACAACCATATTGGCATAGCAACAAGATATTTATAATGACAATTACTTGGCAAAAATTAACCAACACTCTGAATTCATCATTCAGGAGGGGGTGGATTAGAGTTTAGACATTGCTTTTTCATCTAAAATTGAATTACACTTTTGAAATCATTAATATCTGCACCTTAAAGTTAGAAAAGACCATTAATAATAGGGTGCAGATTCCAATTTGGAAAATAAAATGGAGCACAAATTATCAAACTTGGTGTGCAACTAATAATTAATGCTTTAAAACAACGGGTGCAAACTCCAACTTGGAGGAAAAAGCGATGCCCTTCCAGTTGCAACCTTATCACGGAGTTCTTGAAATCCCAAAACTGTCGCTGACATAAGTTTTTCCACATCCATGGTATACTTGTCACGGCGGTATAGCCAACCGTCATATCACCTAGGCGATAAGGCGCCCGCCTAGGCGACAATTAGACGACTAGTCGCACATTATATATTATGTATAAATTATAATATATTACTAATTAAATTGTACTACATATAGAACATAGAATTGAAACCCACAATTGATAATCGAAAACAAGGTTAATTAATGGGATGTAAGAGTAAAAATGTCTGTCTCAAATATTATGTAATTATATACGAAGTATATATTAATTTTCATTATTAGTTTAATAGTTTATTATTTTATAACATACTCGTATAGTATATTAAATCATGTACAGAGCATATAAGCAGCTCAGCAGGTGCAGTGTGTATAATTGTTTATATAATATAAAAGTATATACATACGCATGTATTGATACACACATATATATAAATATACAACTTAAATACTTTATTAGTTAAAATATTAAAAAACTGAATCCACTATACGAGAAGAAAATAGGAAATCGGTGGCCTCTAGTCGCCTGCTTCAACGATGGACTGAGGGAGGGCGAGCCGGCGACTTCGGCTACGTGGCATTCTAGGGTTCATCTGCTTCGACTCTACGACTCTGCTACTTGAGTTAGACGATGATGGAAACGAAGTACCTAAGATTATTTTGGGCTTTATCTATTCTCAATTTCTTTTTTGGGTCTGGCCCTGCGGACGTCTGCTGGGCAAAACTAGGCGATGACTTGTCACCAAATTCACGCCTGGATGACGCCTAGACGACGCCAAGATCGACTAATCTTCTTCCGGCGAGGCGAGGGTACCCGGCGAGCACTCCCTAGCACCGGGACGCCTAGGCGACGCCATGACAAGTATGATCCATGGAAAGTATCATGAAACAGGTAATGGGTTGAGATAAAGGATACACTCAATCAACACTCATATCATGGCATTGAAACAAGCACTTCATCTTTTGTAAACCCAATGGGCTTCCCTTTTACAGAAAAAAAATCTGAACACTTCACATGAACAAATGGGGGTATGGAGTACCCACCGTTCTTGCTCCCTATACCAATTACTTCAAATAAGTAGCTGCTTCAATAGTCTATGCATATATACTCAAGGCTATAAAGAAGTAAATACAAAATTTACACAGCTTGAACTCACCCATGTCAGCTCTTCCCTAGCTTTAACTTCTCTTGTAGTGAAAAAGGCAAGCTGTATGAAAGTAGAAAAACCAGTGTACAAGAGGATAAGCTGTATGAAGCATCCAAAACCATGGCTCATGAAATGACATAAACTGAACCATAGAGGATAAGAATCCATACATGGTAGTAATGGTGATCCGGAGTCTCTATCTCAACTGGTATCTCAACCAAATTTGAATCAAAACATCTGCAAAGCACCAACAGAGTTGCAAGTAAATTAAAACATGATATGCACGGCCACACAAATGCATGCAACACATCACCGAATAATCTAATGACCTGACCAGACATCCAGTCCCTTGTATATAAACTTCACCTGTGGTTTATAAACCTTGCCACATTCCCATAGTAAGTAGCATCCAAACACAGAGCTTCTTCATCCTTCAACACACCTTCTGCTGCCCAATCAGCATCAAGCAGCACAGGATAAAAGTGTTTCTCCTTACCAGAGCTCCGCGAAATACGATCAAATAGTTCAGAATTTGTAAGAACTTCTCCCACATATTCACAAACAAATGCACCTTTTGGCAGGTCCTCTAGAGTACGCAGGCCCCATCCTTTCCCTCCAGGAGTCATAAACACCTGAAAATATATAATTGAGTAAAAACGGATGCAAGTCATCATCATCATTATCATCATTACCCCAATGCCACAAAGGCTCCCACCTACGGTGTGGTAAGGGGGTCAGATGTACACAGCCTTACCCCTGTTTAGCACAGAGAGACTGTTTTCAGATGACCTATGGTGAAAATCGGGTAAAAAATTGCATGGCTTGACTGCTGCTTCATAACAAAGAAGCGCAACCAGTTTAGTGAGCCATTTTGTTTTATTCCATTGCAAATGATGGAAATGATAGAAACAGATGCAAGTAATTGGAAAAATTAAAGCACAGCTCTCTAAGATGTATTAGGCCACTTTACTCACCGACATGATGCAATGATTAACAATACAGGTGGACTCACATTGTTCCATGGTTAATAAAAAATGTGACACGTTTGCAAATGCTTGCCTGTAACTTTCGAGTAATTCCTCGTTGTACTACGCGATTGCCACAATGCATATCACATCCACACTTTCTCCAGCACTCTTTGATGAAATTCCTCACAAGATGACCTTTGCAAGGATCTACAGTGCTTTTAGATCTTTCATGTGGGCACTCGGTGCAATAGTACTGACAGTGTTTTTCTGGGTCACGGTTCATAGAAATACACTCGTTCAGAAACTGCTCTTTCACGAGACCTTCTCTTGTGTATGCAAACTCACCCCCAGTTTCGTATGAACAAGCACATGGTATGGTCAATGACAAACAGTCACCAGAACAAGTCGAACAGCTATGATCGTCCCCGATACGATCCAGAGAAATGTTTATATGTGCATTCCGGAATACTGTACTTTCAGATATGTAGTGGAAAGATGGTGGGCGTTTGCTATTAACTTCATTGACTAATGAAATTGTGATACTTTCTTGCTTCTTGGTAATGTCAATGACCTTATTTAGAGTGCCGGTATTATCCGGAGATAGCTGGAATGATTCAACAGCCTCTGGACTTGGAGAATTCAAATGTTCACTCACACACTGACCACTTTCAGCAGCTATACAGTGGTTATTCTGAGATGCATCTTCTTTAGATCTTGATTCGTTGTCTGCACCATCACTGTGAGGAGAAAGTTGTTGTACCTGGCAAGAACAAAAGCAGCATCAAGAGATTCAATATATTCATCTTCAGAATCAAGAGGCCTGCATCTAGAATGGAAAGCTTCTTTCAGAGAAAATGATTTCGACAGATTAGTAGATGTTGTCATGTCTTCTGTTTTTATCCCCTTCACCAGTTTCATCACATAAAGTTTTGAGTCATCAGTTTGTGATCAGAAACTTTTTCTCTGCCCAAGATAAGTACATCTTCTAGACTATGCAAATGAAAGTAAGGGTCAGTTCGGATGGAGGGTTTTGGAATGCTTTGGAGGGAAAGGCTTTTAAGGAATAATAAAAAGAATGTTTCTAAATAGAATGATTCTGAAATCATATAAAGAGTGATTAATATGTTACATGATCACCTATTATGCCATTACCATTTTTTTATCAAATCTCAAGCAAGAAGTGGACTTGTCTGTCCACCCCACCCCCCCAATAAAAAATTAAACAAACCTCTCTAACTCTATGTCTTCCATGGGTAGAGTTACAATTTTTTAAGATTTTGGGATTTTAATTTCCCTATAGGGAGGGAGAGTCTTCCAAGCGCAGAGTCACAATTAATTTAATATTTTCACTTCCCAAAAAGAGATGATGCAACTTGAAGGTTTTTATTTATCCTCACCGGCTTCTGATTGGTTTTCATTTCACTGGATGATGATGTAATACAGATAATTTCATCCTTGGTCCCATTGGAACCTACATGCCCATTTCCACATCGAACACCGTCATCATCTGATGACTCTGCTTAGCAAGAAATTAACATATTAGATTTTTTCCCAAAAACTTAGCATCCCATCATCAACAAAGGAAAATATGCAAATGACACTGAGCCTAATAGTTACCAAGAGGGAAAACAGCAATGGGAACCTTGAAGTCAGGCATATCACCAATTAATGTAACATCCTTATTCTCTATTGAAACATGAGCACCAAAATTATTCTGCTGAGCAGATTGAACAGGACAAGTTTGATTCTTCGTGTCTTTAAGGTTTAGCCTCGACTTCTTTTTCCGGGATGCAGATTTATGATCTTGAGGTTCTCTTTGTTTACTTCTAAGTCGCATTGGATGAGAGCTAGACTTTCGTCCAGCCTTCTTCAGGGAATTAAAGGGGGTTTTCTCAAGGCTAGCAGGCTGAGTTGAAACAGATTTATTTAGCAACACCAAAGATTCTGGTGAAATGGGTTCCTTTCCTTTGTTTTTATCATGCATCTGTAATGAGTGAGAAGATGTTCCCACAGCCATCTCTACATGACTGGACTGGTGAGAACCCGTCATGTCGGGCAACTCATGGGTGCAACAATCAATAGACACAACATCATCCTTCACTTTACCATTTTTCTGGGATGCTTCAGCCAAGGTGGAGCTAGGGTTGTAACAAGAAGAAGGCTGATCTCCTTGATATTGTGACCGCAGTCTCTTATGTGGTTGCTCAAGGTCCTTGGGTAAGATTTCTCCTTCCAAAGCTCTTTGCTACAAAAGTAAAAGAGCTATGAGGACAACAAAGAAAGGTGGAATCAATCGGAGAACAACAAAAGTAACATGTTGGAAAAACGCAAATTGAAACAAATTAGAAAACGATCTGATTACTTCACTATTCTCAGGCTCTCCGCTCCTCGCAACCTGGTAAGGAGGACATAACACACGTTTAGGAAAAAGCATAAAGTACAATCTAGACACATAAACAAATAGGTGAGGTGAGTAAATGAATGAATGAATAGATGAGTGAGTGAGTGAGTGAGTGAGTGGGTGAGTGGGTGGGTGGGTAGGCGGGCGAGCGAGTGAGTAATTAAATAAAAAATAAATAAATAAATAGATAGATAAAATTAAAAAAACAAAGTAATATATTTGAAAAATCATCAAAAAAGAATACATGAAACAAGCTTATAACTTCACTATTCTCAAAGTCGATGCTTAATAAAAGCAGGGTAAATGAAAATCTATGGCTAAAAGTCGGAAACAAGTGGATAGAAAAAGACAACAAAAGAAACCTTTGGTTCCGCACTCTCAAAGACCGCATCAGCAAGGGCTCTATAATTCTCCTCTTCAATGTATCTCCAGTTACTCTGATAAATTTTCAAAAGATTTTTCAGTACAGGTTTCACCCTTGCTCTGGATATTCCAATAGCTTTCATAGCTTTGTAAGCTCTTCTGGTTCTTCGAGTGACTGCCATTGTTAACAGTGCAAATTTCTTCACGCAGCTTTGAATCCTTCAAAAATTGCACTGACCTTTAAAGGTCCACATGACAAAAGAATTGTAGACAGAACCATAAAACATGGATTCCGATGCAATTGCGCACCAAGTTTTTTGTGCACATTACAGTTGTCATAAATCCTTTCTCCATTTTAAGTTAGCACCAATGAGAGGTTGCACCTGTCCTTTTTACATGAACGCCAAAAGAGTTTTGAGAACTTCTGAAAAAAAAAACAGAACCAAAAATTAAAAGAAGTCGATATGTGTGACTTATTATCTAAAACAAAAGAGCAGGGATTTTTATGGACTCTTTTGTAGGCAGGAAATTTTATGAAAAATGATTGGTGGGATTGTGCATGTAGCACAGGAGTTCCTATTCTCCACCTACCTCTTTTAATTAAGGGTTCCCTTTAATTAACTATCCATTCATAGTATAGTTGGTTTAGAACTAAGTAATAGTTGGTGATGGGTTATGGATCTCAGGTGTAGAGAGGGATAGCAAGTAAAATAAGTAGAGAAAAGGTCATATATATCTTCCTACTATTTTCAATCCATCACTTAAGTTCTTATAGTAAAAAAAGTAGGGAAAAGTATGGAAAAGGTACCTGCGGTTGAGCCCGTTTTCAGATAGGGTCATGTGTTTCATTTTTTATCAAAGTGGTTTATGTGTTTGAGCTCCATTATCACAAGAAGGTCACGCCGTTAAAAAATGCCTGAGGAAGACCATGAACAGTAACTTTTCCGTGTTTTCCAAAAAGTAAATATGATGTGCTAGAGTGCGTCAAGTGTGCTAATGCTTCCGGAATATGTTCAGATTTGAAGAATGCAAACAGAAAACTGGAGAACGGAAAACAGAAACAAATATAGAAACCTGGAAACAAAGTAAACAGGCCCTTAAACTTCCTACTAACTCTACATATGGTAGCATTTTAGGGATTCTATGTGATTTAGTATAAAACTATAAAGTGAGGTTGTACTGTTGAGGTCCAATCTCAAAGGCTTGAACAGAAAATTCAGCTCCACTATCCATCATAGCATCGTTTGAATTTAGGAAATAATAATGCTAGAGCTTAGTCTGATAGTCTCCAGCCCAGAATTTCAGATACGAATCAACCAGCCAAACTGAGAATATCAGCATTGTGTGTTTACAAAGTTTTAATAGCTCAATTTGGTCTGAATTTTCTTTTCCTATTCATCCTATATATCACGCACGTTGCAATTTACACACTTATTTTCTCAAAACTCTATCCCATTTTGTTTTTTTTTCCCAGAAAGTTTTATCATAAACCTAAAATTTTGAAATTGGGAAGATTAAAAAGAAACCTCAAGTCCTCAACTTCAAAATGCGATCTGAACTCTGGATCTTCGGGGCTGAACCAGTAAGACAGTGAAGGACCAGGGGACACGATTCAACGCCGAGATAAAAAAATGCGATTAGAGACGGTGGCGCATAGACTGGCCGGGATAATCGCTAAGGCGGGGGGAGGGAATCCAACGGCGCCTATCAGTTTGCAACAGAAGAAACGGCGGCGGAGGTTTTAGGAAATGGTAGCGGTGTATCCAGCTGCAATAGGTGTTGAGCTTTTTAAACCCAAACAAAACGACGCAGTTTTGATAAATTTTACTAAAATATTTAGGTTAACCAATCTTCCTTTACTTTTTCAACATTTTTTATGAAAATGTGATTTTTGATTTCTTATATTGAATTATATAATAAGTAAAAGAAAAAAGAGTCAAATAGGATCTTCTATCATTACGGAATCGTCACATAAGATCATGTACTCAATGAAGTGTTATATAAATACATTTATTTATAAAAAGCAATCGGATGAGTCAAAACGACCTGTTGACAACCTCGTAATTCCAATTTTAGCGTACGTCTGGCTATCTTTTTGAGATGGATTATAAGGCCGACGTGAAATATTTGATCACGATTGGCTCAAATACATGCATAAATAACAAGTAAACTAAAATCAGGATTAGGAGGTTGTCAACGGGTCATTTTGATTCATCTAATTGTATGCATTTATATGACACTTTATTGAGTATATGATCTTATGTGACGATTCTTTAATAGTAGAATGTCTTATTTGACACTTTTCCCTAAGTATCCTCATACTCACTAATGTGAGAAGATTGTTTTTTGTTTGTGAACATGTTTACAGACAAAACAAGACATGTAAAAGACATCTTCGCACAATTGTGGATGATGGATAGTCTACCCGGGGGTATGTATCCGAAGGGTTACTCCGGGGAGTAACTAGAGAGAAGTCAGAGCAAAAGTAAGAGAGAGAGAGAGAGAGTATATTGCTGAGAATGTAGTGAGCGAGTTTAGCTTGGATTACAAAAGGGGAAAGGGGCGCTATTTATAGTAGTAATAAATGCAAGAAGGGGACACATGTCACGCATCTAACGGCCGAGGGGTCACATCAACCGGGTGTCACTGGCATTCGCATGTGGCCGCATTAAATGTGGTGGTTGGATGTGACGTTTGTACTTGGTACGTTGATCCAGCGCATGTGGGTGGGAGATTCTGTCGAGGAGAAGCCTTCGGCCGTAGATGACAGACCGAAGGCTCTTCCTTTCGGGGGCATCCTAGGTGCCGAGGGCTTCTGTTTTTACTGTCTTCTCCCAGTGTCTTCGTATGCTGAAAATAGCCTTTCTGTGAGTATCAGGAGCCTTCGGCCAAGGGTATTGTTGGCTGCTTGGTACTCGGGGCGCTGTGATTTGGGCCTGTTGTGCTTCCTGGGCCTATTGGGCCTTGATTAGAGTAGTAGGAGTCTATGGGCCGGGGGTCCCTGGGCCATATACTCCATCACGAGTCCCTCACTCCTTTTGCCGAAAGGTACTTGAGGGAAAACGGAGTAATTGTGTCTATCCTCTGCCGTTGTTCCGTTGTTGTTTGCAAAGTTTGTGAGTAGTTCGTTGTGTGCATGTTTCAGCCGAGGGCAGTCCCTCAGTTACCCACATTCCGGGACTTGAGGGATCATGTTTGTCGTTGTGGGAGTTTTTGACATTTTTTGTTTTTTGAGATTTTTCCCGAAGGGGTTCTCCAATCCCTCACTCCTTGAGGCACTTGCAAAGTGGTGAAAAGGAGTAGAGTAGTGCCTGCCTGTAATATGAAGCCGAGGGGTGACGCTTTTCATTTCATTTTGGGGGGATGCCTCGTTAAAAACCTCATTGGAAAAACCCTGTGGGAAAAAATTCCAATGAGGGAAAAAGAGTGCACTGAATTCCCCCAATGATGAGTCGAAAAGGTGAAGCCCTGGTCTGAAATGAGTGGCAGTATTCTTGCCGAAGGCTATCCTTGTCTGAGGGCGCGTGTGCTGCTTTGCCGAAGGCTTGCTTCTGATATCCTGGGGGATGCCGAAGGAGGAGCCCTTAATTCATGAGAATGAGGGCGCGATGAATGTAGGTGATATTTCTTGTGTTGTCGAGGGGTCCCTTATTTGTTGACAAGTGGGGGTCGTGGTACCCCGGGGGGTTTCCTTGTTGCGTAATCGGGGGTAACTGTTGATGAAGGTGTGCTCCCCGGGGTTACGTGGTCCTCAATGTGTTTGAGGGCTATGTGTTCCCGCAGGGTGTGCCCCTTGTGAAGCCGTGGGCTTCTGAAGGGGTGAGCCTGAAGGCATTTGTGACGTAGTATGAGGGGCACAGGGCGAGAGCACCTCTGGGTAAGTGTGCCCGGGAGCTCCGCTTGATAAAGCGGAGTGTAGGAGAAAGGCCGGGTTCCCAGAATATAGCCGTTGTAATAGAGTCGTTGGAATATGTAACGTCGGAAATATAGCCGTTGGGGGGGGGGGGCTTCCACGTGGCGCGTATCCACTGGTTATCTGCGGGCGGGCGTTACCGATTGGGCGAAACGACGGTAGTAATGATGACTTTGTAACCGGAGGCCCGGTTTTCAGGCCCAAGCCCGGATCTGGGCGCCTATAAATACCCCAAGGCCAAGGTCACTTCCCCTTGTGCGATTTCAGTGTAGCGAAGCTCTGCCGGATTTTTTCTAGAGAGAGAAAGAGTCCTTCGATCAAATCAAGCTCCCAGAGGTCAGTTCTCCATCTGTTCTCCATATTTTGGTTAGTTTAGTATCCGAGGCCTTAGATTCAGTGTTTAGAGTCCGTCTAGGAACCCTTCTGCATTTGAGCCCTTCGACCCCTCGTTGTGAAAAATATCGTCGGCGAGTGATTCGCAAGACATCTCTAGGGAGCCCTCGGTAGCTGTCGAGAGCATATCGGAGGTGGGGTCTTCCAGCCAAAGCTCCTTGGGCAATCGTGACTTGACCGTAGCCGAGGAGATGCAGAAGAGCCTCCATCTGGAAATGGAGGCCGAAGTCTTTGAACAAGAATGCGAAGACGAAGAGTTAGCTCTCGCATTCCAAGTGGCTGAGGACGAGGCCCAGAAGGAGAGAATGAGGGTCACCGTTTCCGTTCCATCCCCTCGGGGTGATGCAGTATCCGGGAGCTCTCGGCCCCTTGACGCGATACCACTCAGCGTGGCTCCGGCTAGGAAGAAGAAGGCGAGGGCGGCCCCGAAGAAGAAGCAAGCTACCGTTGATGCGGGTCAACCGGTTGGGATTCCCTAAGGGTACTCTTTCCTCAATACTGCGGCCTTAGAGGTAAAGACGAGGGCGACGGCAGCGGAGTACCGGGCTACGCAATTCCTCGTGGGTCCTTCGGCGCAAGTGGTAGAACCGAGGCCGAATGATGTGTTGTTGAGGGCGCCCGAAGGGTGCTTTACTGTCCATCTACTTTCGGTGGAGTTGGGGCTTCGATTTCCCGTTCACCCTTTTTTGTTGGAGTATTTGCGGTTCGTAAGACTTGCTCCTTGTCAACTGACGCCGAATAGTCACTCTTACATAGTGGGCTTCCTGTCCTTGTGCCGGAGCCGGGGGGTCTCTCCAACATTGGAGCAGTTCTTCCTGTCATTCAACTTATGCCGGGGGGCATTCAAATGTCGGAGGTTTCGGGAACTTGCAACAGCTTCTGGGGTTCAGACTCATCGATGAGGTGCCTTCGTCCCATAAGGGATTGAAGGACAAGTTTTGCTATGTTCGCCTTGCGGAGAACCCTTTTCCTGCTCCCCTTCGTGACAGTTTCCGGCGGCATCCAAAGGCGGAGGGTGCCATTCTAGAAATGAATGGTCGGAAGCTATCCAAGAAGCCGGAGGGATCCGACAAACATGTAAAAATCAAGGATGCTATTCTTTCGGATGAGCTGTTCAAAATTGGCTTCCGTCGGTATCGTTTGATGGGGGAGAAGGCCGAAAGCTACCCCGAAATTGACCGTGTGTATGAGAGTGCTGAAGGTTGTTACCTTGCCGAGGGCTTTAGTTCTTATACTTAGAATTTTTTTAATTTGTTTTTATTGTAGTCGTAAGCTAATATTTGTATGCCTTCTTTATTTTTCAGGACCAGATATGGATGCCAGGTAACTTGCCAAGCTGAAAAGGCAACTGGCCAAGGAGGGAAAGAAGGAGGAGGCCCGGCGCAACAAAGGGTAGTGGATGAAATATTCCCGAAGGCGGGAACTGCAGAGGGGGGCCAAGATGTAGGGCAGGTGACCAAAGTTGCGACCGGCGAGGACGCTGGTTCTGATGCAGGGGGCTCCCCGGGGGTGGAGCTCAAGAGAAAAAGAGCCGGGAAAGGCCCGGCACATCCGGAGGAGAAGAAGAAGAAGAAGAGGGGGGGCCGCGGAGTCGAAGGAGGCCCCCGTCGTGATTGTGGATGAGTCCTCTCCTCCCAAGCCTTCGGGTCCAGCCACCGGTCTGACCTGGCCCCAGGACCACGTCAAATTCTCCATTACTAAGGGAACCGCCATTATGCACGGGACCCTGAACCCGAAGGAGATTTTGAGGGGCGCCGCCCCTCCGACTGATAAGTCTGTGCTTTCCCGGCAGGCTGATGATGCCCTCCGCTCCAAGGTCCTCCAGGCCTCGGTTACTGTAAGTGCCTTTCTTCCTTTCTCCTCATTCATGGTTATTTTAGACTTTATCATATAATGCATGGTGGCTTATCCTTCGATGTTTTCTACTTCCCTTTGCAGGCAAGCCTCGGCCTTGGTGAGCTCATCCGGAGGATGGAGGAATCTTCCCTCCAGAAGCAGAAAGCTGACGAAGCTCTGGCTGAAGCCCGAAGGCAGCTTGGGGAGGCTGAAGAAGCTCTCAGAGTTGAACAAGCCGCCTTCAGCAAAATTCTTGAAAATGCCAAGACAGCGGCCATGGCTGAGGGTAAAGCGGATGCGGAGAAGATTGCAGCTGAGGCTGCCAAAAAGGCCGCCGAAGATGCCGAAGCCGCCAGGGGAGAGGCCGTGGCTAAAGCTCGGGAGGACGCTGTTGCTGGCTTCGTTGAGGACGGGTGGAGAGCCGAAGGCCATAAGAACTGGGTGTCCTCGGTGGTGAAGGCGTCCGTAGATGATTGGGTCAAGGGCCCTAGCTGGGAGTGGATGGCCCGCAAGGGCAAAGAATACTACGATGGGGGTGAGTTCTTCACTTAGGCCCTCATCTACCGAAGGATGGCCCGACATCTGGGGATGGACCCGACGGCCTTTGACCCGGTGGCTTATGGTCTCC